TCTCCTTCTTCACTTTAGTTTTAACCCCCCCCCGGCTGACTGATCTTCGTCCTGCTGTCAGTGCCACATGATCACAAATACTTTATTAATGAGTGGTTTTGGAAAAGTGCTCAGCACAAAAGAAGAGAAAATCTCCGAGCAGTTTGAGTGAAATACTGCACAGCTGTTAGCAGTGTGCGGTTTGGGTGAACAACCAAAAGAATGCCTCGAGATGAGGAGTTTCCACGCAAAGTCAAGTTGACTGAGAGGTTGCACTGTTTGTGTGATTAAGTCACTATTATTACACACTCTTCATCAGCACAGATGCAGGCTCGAATCCGCCCTCTGATAACTTCAAACTGGTTGACACTGATGACCATAGAGACTGTGCTGCCCTCGCCTGCAAGCGAACTGAGGAAATCTGGCTGCTTTTCCTCATAAACATGCCGGTTGCCTTTTGTGATGAACGAGGACTATTTTGGAAAGTATACAGAGGATCTCGCTGTGGTTCTGTGGCCATGAAGCCATTAAATTCTCCTAGAACCTGGAGACCGTGTGAACCGTGCGTCAAGGAGAACCTGATGAAAACCAACTTTTCAAAGAACTACGCTCATACTGGATGTTTCTGCAGTGCATGTGTTCAGTGCCAGTGCAGGACTTCAACTCTTTCACACAACTATTTGTGTGTGTACAACATCATGAGTGTCTTCATAGCGAAACTGGCTCAAAGTGTGCATGGCTGAGCTTTTATTTTGTTCCAGACTACCAAGACACACAAAAACACAGGGTTGTTAAGGGAACCAGTGACAGTGGGTGTTCATCTAGTCTCACAGTGTGGACGTCCAGGATGACTAGAAACGCGTACACATGTATAAACAAGTTTGTTAAAGATGTGGAGGTTACAGTGGTTTCCTACAGATGTCAACAACTACTGGATGGATCACCAAAATAATTCTGTATAGAAGCTCACAGTGCTCAGAAGACGAATCCCTTGGTAATCCTCTCCCTTCCACTAGGAGCCTTTACTGAAATGCGTTCACAACCGTTCATGGTTCTCGTGTTCTTCAGGGATCCTCTGACTTTTCATCCAGCACATCAGCAGCACTGTTCAACAACCTCACAGAGCTGCTAGTGCTGCTATAGGTTCTGGTTTTAACTATAACCACAATCTTTCACCAAACCCGTCCTTTAACGACAACTTATTTGCCAGAGCCACAACCTCGTCCTGTCGTCTGCAGGCAGTCCGACCACCTGACCTGTCTCCAGACGGGTTGTATGTGATGGACTTCTTTCTGGTGCTACTACCGTATTCCCAGATTTCCACAATTATTTTAGTATTATTCCTGAGACAACAAAAAAAAAACCCAACAAAACTTGTTACAAATCTGAAATATCTGCTAATGGTTTGGGGTGATGATGATTCAGCATTTTGACAGAAAGCTCTGTTTGACTGATTCTGTGTTTTACTTCAAATGTCAGTTCTTCTGTGGAGACTTAAAATTACAGGGCATCAGGACAAACCTAAATGTCACATGCTGCATTTCCCATGCTGCATGTAAGACAGTGACAAAAATAGGTTTTGTAACTTAATCCTGGTGTGATAACTGCTTCTGGCTGGACCTAAATGGCTGTTGCTCCTATTCTGGTCCCGGATGAATTAGCGTTTTAATCCTCTCGGCCTGCTGAGGTCCAACACAGCAGCAAGCAAAACAACAATTGTGGTGACTGACATGACGTGAGCTGAAACATCGTCACTATATAATCATCGCCAGAGCTCAGGGTCCCTTATGGCATATGAACTATTTTCAGCTCTGGAAGCCTTGTCTTACAGGAAGTTCTGCCTCTTGCAGCAGAGCCCACGATTGACCTGGGAAATATGTCAGAAGGCTCAGCAGCTCAGGGGAAATCGCATTATTCAGCCAGCAGGCCGTAGAGCTCGCTCGGGTTTTGAAGTCTTTCTATCTTTAAAGCTCTATTTAAAGTAAAGTGCTTTAAAACAGCAGAGCCTGCTGAGTCCCACTTTCCTGTGTACCTATTAGCCACCGCTAAGTGTGTGATGCACTGTCTCTGGGAAGAGAAGGTCAGAGCTGCAGATCCACCCACTGCAGCAGCTCCAACTGTCAAGCTTATTAAGCGGTTTGTTAAAAAGTGCATCCAGGATCAGTCTGATAATCAGTTTATTGTGCTCAGACACAATAACTTTCACTCACCCAGGGCTCTCTTGGTGTCCATGTGCCACCTTTCCAGGAGCTCTGCCTCACATTATCAGCAGTCTCTCGCCCTCTGCTGGACGCTGACCGTGCACACAGGAGAGGCTGCTGACCACTACTCCTCAGAATCAAACCTTGTCCTGTAATACACCCATAAGAAAACAAAATTCCAGCTTCTCTTGTAATTTGTGTGAATATGCGTCCTAATAAGCTTATTTTCCTAAAAAAAAAACTACATTTTGACCAGTTTCTATTCTAAATCAGCCTGTTTCTTAAGAGAACAAAGTCTAAAGCAGGCTGCTGCACTAGAATCAAGCAAAATTAAAATATATGTGAGAAAAAAAATCTTTAAACAATTTGACAGCAATTTCATCACAACATCTGCTTGGTACCTGTTCTGCATCATAACACAGATTAATAGATTTGACTAGCTGAATTAAATTTCATCCTGTTTAATTACTGCTTACTTCTTGACTCTACAGACTCAGTTACGAAGAGTTTTGACTCTCATAAGATGTGACATTTTCAGATACCTCACTTTTAGAGACACCTTTTACACAAACTCTTATTTTAGAGAGAACAAACCTAACATCTCAAACATCCAACCTGAAATGTTCAAAATGACGTTTAAATCAGGAGATATCTGATCAAGCACTAAGAAAACTACACTTGGATGCCAGCTCTCAGTATCTGACAGTTTTTACAAATGTGAATCAGCAAGAAAGGTTCAGTATTAGTCATCAAATAATTATCTGAGTTAAAAAATCTGGTGTTCAGCGAAGAAGTGCTGACACACAAACAGAAAAAGCAACAATATAAATGTGAAGGATTACAATGGAGATGTT